CAATATTACCCGCCCTTTTTTTTCTTATCCTCTTCCTTCTCTTTTTAATCATTTACCAATCAGTTAATTTCATTTATTTTTGCTTTATGAATGTGTTTACATATATATCTGAGTGTATATATATGTGTATATAAGTATGTGAATGGAAAAGTATATAGTATATGAGTATTGCTTTATTGTTTTTTTTCTTCTTTGTTATTTTATTAATACAATCATTCATTTTCTATCAAACTGTTTTTTCATTCATTTACATTTATACCCCCTCCACTTTTTACCTCATTATTGTTACTGTTATTAGTCCTCATTGTCCGTGCTTCTGTTTTGAGTGTCACACCTATCAAACCAAATTAACTGACAATATTACCCGCCCTTTTTTTTCTTATCCTCTTCCTTCTCTTTTTAATCATTTACCAATCAGTTAATTTCATTTATTTTTGCTTTATGAATGTGTTTACATATATATCTGAGTGTATATATATGTGTATATAAGTATGTGAATGGAAAAGTATATAGTATATGAGTATTGCTTTATTGTTTTTTTTCTTCTTTGTTATTTTATTAATACAATCATTCATTTTCTATCAAACTGTTTTTTCATTCATTTACATTTATACCCCCTCCATTGTCCTAATTTATTTGGTTTAATTCTATTTTCCCTTAAGTAATGAATATCAGTCTGCACAGAGTTGGATGCACACACACTACACACTTTCACACACACAACTTAATACCCTCAATTAATAAAAGTAATAATCCTTTTGCCTCTTTTGTTAATGTCTGTTGTCTCATGTACTATGTTATGTGCTTTGTCCTGTAAATGTGTTATTTTGTGTTGCAATAAAAAAAAAAATTACAAGGAATTTGACTCTAGCCCAAATTCCTTGTGTGTTCAACACACCTGGCCAATGAAGATTATTCTGATCCTGATTGTAGTGGGGTGGGGGTTAATGTCCCTCACCTGTTTATATGCTGTATGTAGAATAAAAACCATTACCTACATAATAATTATATTCTATATAATGTTATGGTTATTGTGGTAAAACAAATCTGAAGTGAAATAGCTGAAATACAAAAACGACAGAGCTGAGGAAGCTGCAGGAGGATGTAGGTGGGGCTGTTTGTGCCACCTGGTGATGTTTCTCTGAAATGCAGAAATGGTAGATTCAAGAAAACCTCACTGTTTTTACATTAATATCTAAGTTTAGACTGGAGCCGTCCCTGGTAGGCTAGTGGTTAAGGCACAGTGCTCTAATAAGTAAAAAATCAATATTATATCAATATTTAATAATAGTTTATAGGCCACCTTCTGTGTAATAAGCATTGCTATGTAATATTTGTTCTTTATTTGTGAATTATAGCAGCTGCTATTCTTCCTGTGGTCCACGTAAAAATATGAACAGTAAAAACAAGCAACAATTTAAAAAATCACAATATCAACAAACTAAGAAAAGGCAAAGACAAATAAAGAGCAGAAAAGAAGAGAAATGACTCAATATATGAAAAGATAGACAGCAGAAAGTTGAAATGTAAACAACATGCAATTACAAAAGGAAAAAAAGGTAATGACAACATCTATTTGTAATTAGTCTTTTTAGGTAACCCTATGAATGAAAACCCACTTTTGATCTGTCTTATGTTACAGTTCAGAAAGGAGATTGTCTGTAACTGTCACATTAATCCTTCCAACAGTTTTTGAAATATTTCAGTCTGACACTGTCATCAGTTGCTAGCATGGCTAAAACCCGTAGCCACTTCTTTAGCAGCTGTCATGCACTAAAGAGCAGTGCAGTTACCTAAAAGTGCGCAGAATGGTATCTGTTCTTTCATGCAAGCCAAACCTCTGTTCCTTTTATATTTGACCTTATCTGTCATATTGTGTTATAGTTCACTTTAATGTGACTTTGTGATTTTGCCTCTTTGCTATCTCAGCTTCAATTACCCACAGGCACTCTTCCATATTTAATCAAGAGTGTGTTTGTTTGAAGAGAGCCCTGAATATGTGTGTAAGGGACTGATAAAGAGAGATGTCTGACTAATGTATGTGTGGATACTGTATTTATATGCAGGACAGAGGCAGAAAAGAAGAAAAGAGCGATGTGAGTATATTTGCATGTATGGTGACAGTTTTGGGATGAAAGCATTTCACCATTCCTATGGTAATTGGTTTACTATCTCTCTCTCTCCCCACTTCACCCTTCTTTTTCCTCTCTCTTTCTTTTTTCTCTCCTCCTCTACTCACCTTCCCCTCCCCCACAATCCCTGTGTGTCATGATGTAACCCTGGTTTTCTTTCTATGCACTTCTACAGTATATGGGACTCATTCATTCAAATGCTGTACTATCAGGTTAGTTTGATTTTGCTGTGTGTGCATGTGTGTGTGTGCATCAACGGCTGGTATCAGTAGTCCCCAGGGACCGCAGCGCAGCATATTTCATCATCCTCCAGACTCGGCACAAGAAAGCCTGTGGTCCCCTTCTCTTCATTTGCTTGTTCAGCAATTCAGAAGACACTCTGTGTTTTCCTTAGTTCCCTCTTTCACTTTCAGGCAGATCCTGGTGCTATGAGTCTAAATACAAGATGCTGTACGTTACTTCTTTCAGATTTGCACTAGCGCTATAAGTTGCTATTCATGTGATTCCTCCCTGAAGTCCTTTGAAAATTAGCTGCTTCTTCTAAACCTTGTCCAATGTGACACATGCATATATGCAGTGTGTGATGCTGCTTTGCAGGAATTATGTTAAATTGTCCAATGACTTTTTGTTTACTTTAATGTGTGCGGGATCTTTGGCAGTTTTCTTCTCAGCTGTAATACAGTATCTTCTCACAGCTGATCACAGCACAAGTTCTACTTCAGCACTTTCCACCAGATCTCAGAAAGCAGCTATCAGAACAATAATCTGAAAAATAACCAGTAGCCTCAGGTTCTTTGTGATTGTGTTTAGCTCTCCTTTAGCATTTTGGCCAACTATAGCACCCATGAGGCCACGTGATGAGTATTTTTTTCTTCCACTGACTAGATCACAGACTGAAAACCTTTCATTCAAAACAAGCTTTCTTTGTAACCACCCCACAGAAATAGCTGAACTAACTGGCGTCAAGCTGCTTTGAATTTTTAACAAGATTTTTCTCTACAAATGCAGCATGTTGAGCTCTCCACAAAGTGTTCATTCACCAGTCACCATGTCAAAGCTCCCACCTGAGCTTTAGCTTAACTCTGTAAAATGAACACTTTAAAATACTTTTAGTGACACTAAAAATTTTCTTACTATTCTACATGTCACGCTGCAGTTCCCTGTTCATCTTCTGTGAACCTGTTTGCTTCCACAGTTTTACTGTCAGAAAGAGCAGTGTCTACATTCAGTGAAAAAGGTGTGTTATAGTAGTGAAAACTGTGGTTGTGAGGACAAGTTAGAGAGAATGTTTATCACCACTATAGCCGCTGAATGTTTCTCTTCATATAGACCAATGTACATTGTTTTTCATTTCGACTAGTTCAACAGAGGTTCAAACTAATTTTAATCTTTTTTGCAAAGTGCAAATGGGATTTTATGGAATTTAATGGAAGTTTAATCTACAGGTCAACCTCATCATCAGTGATCCTTGGTCCCTTCCTTAGACCACTGTTGGTAGGTACTGACCACTACAGGCTGGGAACACCCAACAAGACCCATGGGTTGGGAGATGCTCTGACCCAGTCGTCAGCCATCACAGCCAAGAGCCAAAGCTCTTGTCAAAGTCACTCAGATCCTTATGCGTGTCCATTTTTCCTGCTTCCAACACATCAGCTTTGAGGACTTAATGTTCACTTGCTGCCTAATATACTCCACACACTGACAGGTGCCACTGTAATGAGATAATCAGTGTTATTCACTTGACCTGTCAGTGGTCATAATGTTATGGCCGATTGGTGTATATACTGTATGCACAGTATACACTGTAGACTTATATCATACTATATACAGTATATACACATCATTTGTGTGTGCTTTTTAGATGCTAGGCAGTAGCTATATATGCTGGTTCATTACTTCTGACAGTGATGATGTTGGTATAATCTATGTCCCTGAAAGGGCCCAATTATCTCAGATTACAAGTCCTATCAGAAAAACAGTCTTGACATCTGAGTTATACAGTTGAACCCACTGCACTCGAGCTGAACCCTGCTCAGTTTTATGTCATCTTGAATATATAGGCCGATGTTCTTCCACTGTGAATTAGGTATACACAGAGTGGACCCAACATTTTATAGTTGAAAAAAATAAAACTTTCAGTGCCCTCTGGTGGACAAACCAACTGCACCATTCTGCCTGAACTAATTCAAACATATAGAAGCTCCTTGGCCAGTAAACATAAATAATACGGACAGCCTACAGCTATAAAACGCTATTGTCAGCTATATTGTTGGACTCTAGATAATATATGAAAAGGCACATGTTGAGGTAAGTTCAAATCTACACTACCATGTTATGCAAACATGCGTAAGGAAGAGGGAGAGTTTAAAAAGTACTGTATGATGGCGGTCAGCATAGTGAAATTTTATACAGGGAACCACATGAGGCACATCTCACCTTCAACAACCCACAGCCATGCAGGGTTGGGACCCTGTCACGTTTCAGCTCACCTGGTTTAGGTTAAAATGGAACGCCAACGCTTCCTGCTTCACAGCATTCTCACTTAAAATACATCTTGAAACCTGAAAAATTGGTTTCAAAATGTAAACACACACACAAAGAGAGAGAGTGAGAGATAGGCCTTTACTGGCTGCTCTTTGTTTACCTATGGAAATTTGAGCCAGGTAGAGTGGTGACGTAGCCCTACCTGGTGCCTTCTACTTTCCTCTTCTCCCTTCCCCCTTACTTTTAGTTTTGTAATAAAATTACAGCTTAATAACTGTAAAATTATAATCAATGTCAAATGCACCGGTGCCACAGGTAATTTTTTCCTGATGTACTAGGCTACCCCGCGTGCGCAACACCCCCCCTCCCGCGCGCGCGCACACACCCGCACATGAACCTGGTAGTACTGGAGCAGGGAGCCATTGCGCGGAATACATTCAGCAGGTCGTTAACACTGCTGGCGGTTTGGCTGCAGATGCAGGTCGCAGAGTGGAAGCGCGAGGCGGGGGGAAATGGCGAACGGGCGCGGGCGGCGGTGCGCCTTGTGAGGATACAGTAGACATTGGGAGCGGAGGCAGGCGGCAGCTCGAGGACAGAGAAGGAGGAGAATCATGGAGGACTCAGAGCCCGCAGAGGACGGCTTGCTCGCGGGCTTGCGGTGGAACCGGAGCGCACGGGACCAGGCTCAGCTCAAACACAAAATCCGGGATCTGCCGGGGCTACTCAAGCACGGGCTGCACCTGCGGAAGAAGAGCGTGAGTATTTCAACCCAACCGCTGTCTGACTGTCTGTCCTTCCGTATTTAATGTATGATAAAGGTTTAATCTTTTCAACCATCAGTTTTCCCGACATCACTCTGTGCTCTGAGCCTGTTTCATAACCCCGTCACGACTCAGGTGTTTTCATTTTGTTACAAGCATATTACTGTCGCAGAGGCACCGTGTGTGTGTATGTGTGTGTGTGTGTGTGCTATATCCAGAATGACCAGATTTGCTGCTGGACACCGTACCTTCACACTCCAGTAGTCAAGGTAACACTACCACCCCCAAAACACACAGACGTACTTACATACCCTATAGAAACACACACATCATATATTTAGCCTATAGGCTATATACAAAGATCACAGTATCTAGAAACTAAGAATTAATTTCCTTATCTGTAAATCACTTATCAATTAATTCATCAAAATAGTAGAAGAACATGCATCATAAGTTCTCAGAGTCCAGTGTGTTGCATGCCCTGTAGTAAAAAGCTCTGATATTTTCAAATAAAATGATGTAAAACAAATACAAACAGCAAATTCTCACATTTGTGAACTGATATTTTTGCTTGTTAAGTATCTTAAACAATACATTAATTAGCTAATGGGTTCTTTCGGTTGATCAAATAGTTATTCTAGCTCTATGCTGTAGTAATTAAACAGATCTATCTCTTTATCCGTTATACTGCATACACAATCCTAGTGAGGCAAATGTTTAGATCCAACCACCTAAAATCTTTCACATAGATACTCTGGTTCTTTTCATAACCACTAAGCAGAAAATGTGTGTGGCTCAGTGTGTCCTGATGTGGACAGAACACACCTGACAAGCCAAATAGCTGCTGAGTGTGTCGGCTCTGCTCCTCCTCATCATCGGCGGCAGCCAGAAGAAAATGTGTCCCTCTGTGGGAATCAGGGACAGACTGCCAGGGCTTCCCATCCCACTGCTGCCAAATGTGCTAAAAATATACAGTGCCGCTTTGGACCATGCAGATGAACAGTTTATGTCATGTTACATCATGTTATTTTAAGTGATGCTTACATGATTATGTAATGTTTATATGGTTGAAGCCACTCTAGCCTTGTCACCTGTCTGATCACTGTAATATGATTATTACATTATCATTACATTATTTCTTATCTGTTTTGTTCTCTGCTGGGATTTAACTTAAGGGAAGCAAATAAGAGAATTCTAAGTAGATTAAGACAAAGTTTTTGTTTTCCTCTCTCCATCTACCTGAGTGTGTGTGTGGGTTCTTGTGTGAGTGAGTGTGCCATGGGTATGTAATGTAAGGGTATGGCTGTTCTGTGCAGACTGGTTCTCTCTAGATGTTGGCAGTTGGCTATGCCTCACCTGGCACACATTCACACGCGCACATGCATGTGCACAGATGCATTTTCTACAAAGGACCTACAGTGCCAAGGATTGTTTTTGCACTGCACTATAAAGCATTCAAACCTGAAATTGTTAAAAAGCACAAACTGACTTCATCCCAGTGCGTTGTGCTGAAACAGCATCTCTTGGCATTCTTCCAGAGGTGGACACTTCTGCACAATGTTTATCTTTTTTTGTTGGTCTGTGGTTTTTGTTCTACTATCTGGGGCCCTGTAACAGTATAAAACATCTGACATAAGCAGTTTTCCCATTACCTAATGTGCTTCTTTATTGTTCGCCGACAGCCTAAGAAGTGAACTGAAACTTTTGTATTGTGCCGAGCCATCTGTCGCCTTCACTTCCTGCCTGCAGCAGCCTCACCTTGGAGGATCCTGTTTTTCATTATTCTCTGTTGTGACTTGCTCTGGTATTTAATTATTTGCCCTCTATTGATTGTGATATGACAAGAGCACATAGATTTGTTTGAAGGAACATTTTACCGAGTTTTCACTTTACTTAGTTTACAACATTTGCCAGAGCGGTCTGCAGTAGACATGTAGAACAACAGGGAAGACCTAGCTAGTTTTCTTTCCTCCTCCTCCTCCTCCTCCTCCTCCAGAGATTCAGCTATGTTTAGGGATGGGTTCCAACAACTGTTTCAATTTTGGATCCAGCTCCAAGTTGGTTAAATACCACATTCATTTGGTTCTGCAACCAGGAAATCCCTTATCTAATCTTTCATTCATGCGTTCTTTTTAGTTAGTTCTCTTTTGCCTCTCTCTGACACTACAGGCAATCATGGGAGCAACAGTGGGTAGGTATATAGAGGGTGGGGGGGGTCTTAATCTGTCACCATCTCTAATTGCAAATATATATAATATCAAATATTAAAAGGAAAAATAACAAAGTATTCCCTACTTGGTAAAATAAAAAATTTAGGTTGAGAGATGCTGCTGAACTTTGTCGTGAGGTGCACTCCAGTAACTATCTCACATCACACCTCTGTGCAAAAAATTATACATATGTGCACAAAATAAGACATAAAAGCAGTCCATAGCCATGATAAATAAAAAAAAAAAACACCCTACACATGTTCTGATCGATCATGTTACAGGGATTATTAACTGCAGATCATGTCACACATACATTGAAGGATATGTTGGATTAGATTTTGATTAGACTTAATTTTATTATTTAAATGTTGATTATCAGTTCTTGGGGACGCTAAGGTCTATTTTTGGGGAGCTAATTTCCTCCTGGTTCCCTCGTGGTTCAAATATTGAGTACAATTGTCAGAGGGAATCTTAAAACAGAGTTGAATGGTGTGCTCATACTATCGTGTTTTTGGGCTGCAGCTTTTTGTCTTTCTTCTAATGAATTTATGGTGGACTACACACTAGATTGCATTGTTGCCTCAAAATGGTCCCAGATTTTTTACATTTTTAAAAAGGACATTTTAATGTGTATTGTAAAAAAATGCATTTTGATGTGAGCACTAGTTGTCAGCCCTTCTTGCGGAGTAAATGCAAACCAAGACTTACAAGGCTTTGACCCAGAGATGGTGTTTAAAAATGTACAGTATGCTGCATGTTTTTAGGCTGTAAAATGATATTATGAACCCTAACGCACCTAGCTATCACACTTCACAGGCACTGTCTCAGTGGAGAGCTGATGATATTCCTTAGAAGATGATCTCATTTCTGCTTTATACATGCAGCAAAACAGTAGCTTGTGATGTGTTTTTATGTCTGCTGGCAATATTTTACATCCATAACTGCATTACGCATTGAGATAAGGAAGATCAAACTGCAAGTGGTGGAGAGAGGCTCAAGCATGTTAACGCTCACTCACTATACAAGCATACACACACATCAGTAGAACCACTGCGCTTGACTGAAAGGTTTAGCACAGTAAATGTGCACGTATTAAATCTGAACTCTATTAACGTCTTAAATAAGCATTTCATGTTACACACATTAAAACAGTTATGCACAATAATGCAAGCATAGAAGTAGTTTAGAGAAGACTAAGAAAGACCAGCAATAGAAGCTGGAGGTAACTCCTGAAACCAGCATGTTGTGAGCAGATATAGACTGGGTGTGTTGGTAAGCCAAAGGTTATATGTGCTGGCAGGTGGGTTTCTTAACAGCTTTACTATGTGTGTATTTGTGTGTATGAGGGATCGGTCGAGGAGTTGACAGAAGCTCGGTGTCAGTGTGTCAATGTGTGTGTGTGAGGGGGCTTGCCAAGCATAGTGTACACACACAGCTCTTCACTGTGCTCAGCAATCTAATCTGAGAGTAATCCATTTCTTACAGATAATGACCTTGCTCTCTCTCTCTCTCTCTGTATACACACTTGGAAGTCATCACACAGATAAGCGTGTCAGCATGTGCTCTCTCTTTTTAGTCATTATTATTCTTCTCTTCTCTACTCTTCTTCTCTGTCACTCTCTTTTTGCCTTTGGTGTACTAACAGCAACGGGCTGTACACCCTGTGATGGAGGAATGTGCGCTTGTTCGGAAAAGAAACTGAAGAACAGACAAAGAGACTCGCAGGAACGTAGCCAGTAGATGTTTCTCTCATCGTGTGATATAGTATGAATAAAATACCTCTCGCACTGGTGTGCCTGGTTTGTGAGAAGAGATGATGGTGGAGAAACAAAGACCTGTCGAGAGATTTGTGTGCACCAGACAGGGAGACTGCGAGATGGAGAGATAAGATAGTGACCAAGACAAAAGAGCAAGACAGAGACAGTCAGAAACAATTTATTTAGTCTGTGTGCTTGGCTGGCTGGGGTGCTCTACACTGCATGTCTTTACACATAAACACAGAAAAAAAAAAACACCCATCTTTAGTGATATCTAGAGGTATGTCAGGACGTTTTTTTGTTCTCAGAGTTGATAAATCTGAAAGTTGGTCCTAATGAAAGAACAGTTGTTGGTTTTTTTTTGAGAATTTCTGTCACCTCTAACTTTCTCTGTCGTCAGTGTTAAGGCTACAGCTAATGACTGTTTTCACTGTCGATTTAATCTGCTGATTATTTCCTTGATTATTCAAATACAAACAGCGCTGCACATAACCCCCTTTTACACTTTGGCTTCTATATTAACAGTATTTGTGTTGCCTCTACTCATGATTGATGTCTGTCAATCTGTCAGTCCTGGATCAGCTTATTTGTCTGTGCTGCACTGGGTGACGTTTCCTCATTGAGAAACACCAGACCCTGATTTTTTTTTATTTAAATGTTGCCTCAAAGCCGTAACATTTTGCAGCATTTGAAGTAAGCAGGAGTCAAGGGCTCATGAACAAAATCTCTCGATATTCCTAATGTAATATTAGGGTCTTGTGTTTCATGGGAGGAAATATGTCACCCAGTACAGCGATGTTTCCCTGATGTTTTTTAATTGTTTTTGAACATCAGTGAAGATCACAGACAAACAAACTACTCCACTTCTGACAGACTGACAGAAATGAATCATGGTTGGAGGCAAATTACTGTTGGGTTTATTCTCTGAATGGGGACTGTTTAAAATGGCCGCCCTTATCCTTTAAACAAAGCCAGACACGCAGTCATTTTCTAAGCTAAGCTAACAGTCGCTGTCTGTTGCTTCACGTTTAAGAGATAAACATGAGAGTGGTATTGATGTTTTTCTCTGACTCTTAGCAAGAAAGCAGAGAAGCACTTCTAACAAAAGCTGAAGTATGTCTTTAATGACATGCAGGTAAGCTTTGAACTGGAGCAGGCACTCTGTTTGAATAAGATATTTGTACCACTGTATGTTCTCTTGCTCTTGTGTGTGACATCCCAGACATTATCATTGCTCTAGTGAGGATCATGCACATTGCTCAGCATCTCCCTAATTATCCTTTTACTTCATTTTCTTGCTGCTCAAAGCCATAGCCAAGCTTTTCTCTCCCTTTGTCTTTTGTCTCACTCATTCTCTCTATGACGATTACAGTTAGAATGATCTCTTCGTCTCTCACCACCACATCTCTGTCTCTTTCTCCGCCTGTCATGCTCATATCATCCATCATATATTCATAGACTATTGCGAATTGTTCAGGCTCCCTCTTCTTTTCTCGTCTTGCAGTCTAACTCATTTATATTTTTCCCCTACATCTATCTTCCACAGTTGCTTTTCATTTGTTCCATCATTTGATCTCACCGTAGCTCTCGATTCGTCATCTACTGGTGGCTTTTCATTGTCAGCTAGGGTGAAGGGCAGCAGCGGTCCATTTTTTCAGTGTTCCCAGAGGAAGTCAAACGCACAACTCTCCCAGTGATCCTGTTGCACTCCTATTGCAGGAGGTTCTTGTCTGCCTGTTTTTAATGAACGCCGGCAACGTGATCATCGTACTGATACAGCTCTACACTTTATATTTTTGTCATGGATGCACTGCTATGGTATTTTTCAAAGCAGATGCCATATCGGATATTTTCTCACTCATGTCTGTTGATCATGATGCTGAATTGTTGTAAGACTGCAAAAATACAAGTGCACAAAGACACTTATATTTACAAAATATATTCACCTCTTGGAAGTTATCATGTTAGGAATTTTTGACACTAATCAACAGAAAAAGTACTTTTTACTATCAACTTGAAAGCACATCTCTGTAAGTCACTCTTTTAGTTTGTGTGGATAAGTTGGTTATGAACAACTTCTCATTATTCTTTGTAAAAACAATGGCCTGCTTCCATGAGGCTGCTTCCATTACTGCTCTTTTTTGTACTGTGACACTGTTTTTGTGTGCCACTGTACCGTGTCCGTTTTTTTTTTCATTGTTTAATGATTGATGTCACTGAATCATTAAAGTGTTCAAACACTTTTAGGAAACCTTTCAACAGATTTGTTTGGAATTCATCTTTGTCTTCATGGTGTAGTTTTAGCCAAGAGATGGACGAACCAACTATTGCGCCCTGTAGATACAGCTGTATTTAACCCAAAATCCTGTGATCTTTGTTGAACTTCTAGTTAGGTGTGTCAGTGTCAAGCAACCATTCTGTGCCTTACATTTGTATTTAATGTATATACTTCTAAAGATTTTTAAAATTTCTCTTAATCAGTGGCTAAAGGCTTCTTCAAAACACAGTGATTTAGTGTTGTAAAGCAATAAAACCTGACAGTGTTCCAGGGAGGTGATTACTTTTATAGACACTGTAAAAATTTCCCAGCATGGTTTGGACACTATCAGATTAAGTTTTTTCTTCAGTCACTGTAGTTGTTTTTACAAACTTAATAATGAATAGTGGCCATATATTAAGGGTAGAAAAAAATTATAACAGCTAAGAGCTTCTAAAACTGGTATTGTTTTATTAGCGATGCACCAAATATATTTTTATTTCACAACCCAGTAGTGTCATTTCTCATTCTTTTTTGGTTCGATAAACCACAAGCGGTCATAAAACCTGTTAAGATCTGTTTTCTTCAAAAATAGTTAATGGTTTTTATTGTGAGTTTTATGAGGCTCTCAAACATTTTAATTCAGCAGCAGGGCAACAACAACAAGGTGTTAGTAAATTACATCGCACTATATTACACTGCAGTGCAATACCAAAACAGATGTCTGCATGCAATGCCATTTCTGCTCTGCTTGATCCAGGACTCACTATCCCCTTTAATCTGTTTTATGACAAATGTAGCACCGCAGTTTCAACACTGTCATCTAGCTGCTCTGGCGCCATAATAATCCATAAAGATTAAGATCTTATTTTCCTGATAGGGGAAGTAGAGGTGAAGCGTATACACTAAGGGCAGAGGCTGCAACATGATGGTAGCATCTATGAAGAGACTTGTCATGTGTCACTTTAATATTTATAGCTGTCTTGTTGTACTGAATAATTGTCTTGTAATGTTGAACAATAGAACCTATAAATGCATTGCTTCATGTGTTATATTATTGTATCTTCATTGTTTACTTTGTCCTAGTTTCACTTGAACGTGTGCCCATGTAAACTATTAGGTTAGATAATCATCAGACACTAAAAATGAATAACCACCTTCTTTGGCAAACATGTATCACTGTAGCACTGTATTATCTGCTTGAAGTGTCACTTAAAGCAGATAATAGAATCAGAAAGTGTGTGTATGAGCAATGGCTCTTAGTGCTAAAACCAGTCTAATGTTTTTGGAATGGTCAAACTGGTCTGTCTCATTTTGGAGTCTTGTTTGTTCAGTGTAGTTACTGTGTGTGTGTTGGCCTTGACAGCTTGTGTGCATTTTGTTTTAACAGCAATCACCTGACACTATCCCTGGACCGAGCACTGGACCTGCAGTACACAAGGTAAGGAAACATACTCTACACACTGACACACAAACACACACAGCTGATGTCGTCATTCTTTTAGTTTTGCTGTGTGATCCAAAGGGTTTGTTTAGCCTCAATACAGGTGACATAAGTGATGATTTCGACTTGGATTGTTTCCAAACTCGTTATTAAGTACACATGCAAACTCACACACATTGTGTTTCCCTAACTTCAGGGGACATTACATTGACTTAAATTCATTTCCTGGAGACTTCCCCTAACCTTAACCATAATCACTATGTGCCTAACCCTAACCTCACCCTAACCTTAAACCAAGTCATTGGTCTATAATGCAATGATTTGCTTTGTGATTGTGTAAACAGATTTATATCCCCACAACATGAGTAATACCAGGCTACACACACACACACACACCACACATACACTCATTCACACATCCTTAATTTTTTATTCATCACTATAATATGGTTTTTCAAATATATCAGTACTGCACTCTGAAAAAGGCCTGATTTATGTGCACTACTGTTAACCTTGTGCTAAAAATCTTTCTCTGCTTGGTTGTGTGTCCCCTCAGCAGTGTTGTAATGTTTTTACTGGTTCTATTTCACTATATTTTCTTTATATCTTTGCTCAGTGTACATGGCTATTGATGGTGTATCGAGAGCAGTATGACGCTGGTAAAAGCTCATTGCCCATGCACCGAAGTAGCGAAATACTTTCAAAAAGGAGCTGTAAACTCAGCCAGTTGAAATCTTCCAACCTCTGTTTTGTTACAAGATATTAGTTAAAAATTATTTGCCAAGAATTGAACCTGGCCGTACCAATCAATAAACTATTGAGATTTGTTTAGGTGATAGTGACACGGAGCAGTGCTTTATTTGGAATTTTAAGTTAGGCCTGACATCCACTTCTTGATTATCAAATGTTGATGTGATGAGCTACTTCATGGTGAAAATGATCCTGCAACTGCATGTGCTATTTATCACCTCGGATTTATTTAAAAGCCCATTTTGGTTAGGTGAGGTGTGTGCCAGTCTTTCTAGAGCAACTTGAAAATCTGAAGCAAAATAAGCCTCAGCAAAGACGTAGTTACAAATCATTTGTCATTGAGTTTGAGCCAATTACCTGTCAAGTAATTGGATCAACGCCCATGACTGAAGAAAATGTTGATCATGGCTTGGCAGATCACACTGCGGGAGGTCAAGTCTGTTGGCTGACTGTGTGAGCTTGATTGAACCCAGCCTCTTTGTTTTAGAGATATTGATGAGATGACCTCTGTAATGATCAGCAAATCTGCTTAAAGCCCAAGACATGAAGGTGAAATAAAAACTGTATGTCTGTCAAAACCTGCAGTGCACAGAGACAGCAACATTCTGATTATGACAATAACTAACTGCAGTCTTTTACTCATGGCTAAAATTTTAGCTGTATTTTTTAATTGCTTTGCTTTCAGACAAAACATTTTTTTGTGTTTCAGTCTTGTTCCCAGAGTTTCCCGTGTGCTGGACGGGCTGTGAGGAACGCCTTCCTCTCTCACGGACCATACCCAGCTAAAGATAAAATACACCTGGCCAGAATCATACGGTACGCTTGTCTCTGTCTGTGTGGAGGGCACTGTCTTATCAGTCACTGTTGAGCGCCATCCTGATTGGCCAGTCAAGCTAAATACAGTAAGATGACCAAAGTGTGATGTAGACAATAGATAGACAGGATGGTCCGGGAACACCCTCATACTACACATACAGTGCACACAGATGCATACAGATAACTATGTGGACCTCTGGACACAAATGTAGCTCGATACTGCTGTTGCTTGCACATACTGTACACCCACGCAAACACATACACACACACACACACACACACACACACACACACACACACACACACCCACACACACACACACACACACAAAGAGTTTATCATGAGGGAAAGCAGATGTAAAGTATTCAGCGTTTCAGAGGAAAAGGCTTATAAAGAACTAATGAATAGTCAATGAATATTGATTAAATAAAAAGCCAAGCTTTGTGCCAGGGGAAGAAGTGTACTTACGGCCTGAAAATGTTTTTGAAATGTGTATTTTAACAGGCGTAGCTATGTGGGTGTGGAGCTGGTGCAATGGCTGTGTGAGCAGTGTGTGTATGTGCGCTGTCGGACTACCGCTGTGCGTGTCTGGCAGGTGCTGCTGGAGCTGGGAGTCCTGTTGTCTGGTAAAAGCACAGCCACACACACACACACACACTAACATGCCTGAAGGTTGGACTGTGCTTCAGAATTTATAGTCACACATTTCTAAAGAGACAACTGAAGGACCAGTTCACCCAGTAATTTCTAGTAGAACAGAAAGATGAATTCACCGTCTCAGCACATGAGCCTGACTTTGACTGAGGTTGTGTCTAGTAAAGATATTAATATCACCTTTTTGAGAATATCTTTCCACATGGTAAAGTTACACCAGACTTCAGTTTACTGTGTAGCCCACCTTCACTCATCTCTGTAATTATTCTTTATTTATCCTGGTTTTAAACAGAGCACTGTGTTTCTGTCCTTCTCTAGAACTAAGTGTTTGTTATAAACTAGTGATGTACATTCCTTTTACTGCTGTTTATTAAACAGTAGTAAGCTACTGTACATAGTCAGTGTGGCTTAAATAATTATTCATATCTTCCTTGTGATGTTTTCAGAGCACGGCTTGTATATATTTAACCCAATTAAATATAGTATGTACATAATAATAATGATGATAACCTTTTTACCACTACACCACTTCTTATTTGTAAGTTAAATGAAGCATCAAAACAGTAACATGCCAGAATGCAGAACAGAGAGATATGCTCAACTAAGAAAAATTCTAAAATGCACAATTCTTCAACTGGGCCCTGGACCTGGTCCCATGTCTTTTCATTGTACTTGGTATGTTGAATATGGTGGGTAATGGTCACATTTCTGGCTTCTCATTGAACTTAATTTATTTGAATGTGAATGGAAGGAATTATTAATGCTAGATCAACTGTTAATTTGAACTACAAACAATTATACTTATAGTAAGATTGTTCAGTCTTCTTCCTGTAGACTGTCACTCATTGATGATGCACGGTAGGAGAGCTAAGAAGGTGTCTGCTCCACTAATGAAACCTACTACTTCTCACATTATTTTTGGGTATGTTTGTTTATTTGTCTTTTCTTTCTACAGTGGACCAGCGAGTTGTGTTTTCAGATTCAAACTCTTACTACCAGTTCAGCTTTGAGGAGTGTGACTCCGCCTCCTGTGAGTTTTGCTCCAATGAGGGGGAGTGGCCTGAGGCAGTTAGGCTCCTCCTACAACTTGCCCCATATGTCCAGTTTCGCTCAGGGGGCGAAGTCAACAGCCCGTAAGTGTCCATTAAAATTTGATTGCTAGTATTACTGGGATAGATGGATGAATAGTAGGGCTATCACTTTTTCAAAAATCTAGTTTGAACTAGACAGCACTTAGAGCGCAAACCTCCGCCAAGGCGGCTCACTGTCCACATAATGCTATTACATCTAAAACTAATACCCCCATGATAGTTGGACCGCCATGATACGTATGATTGCTTTACTATGAAAACCTGCCCCTAGGATATGGAATCACATTGATATCATCATTAGTTTGAAATTTTTTCAAGAAAAATTATATTTCACCTATGAGGATTTTATTTGGGATCTATCTCAGTAACTGTTGAAGATATGTTGAACGAAATCCTGTACTGAAACAGCAGAGGTCCAGCTACAGTTTGGTCTTTGTTGCAAGTCTGTAGCATTATGTGTTGTCTCACATTAGTGAGTTTTCCTTGACAGTCCTGATGGATGGATTTTATTAGTCAGCTTATTTTGTTGTAACAACAAAATTGTAATTTCCATTATTGTCTATTGTGTCTTTATGTCAGTGTGTGAATTTGTTACAGAGTGTTGGTCATACTTATTGTGCATGCGGCTTAGTTGTGATGTGCTGGATGATCGCCAGTGACCTGAAGTGGAAGTCCCTTGCGCTGGTAAATTATCAGAGTGATAGTGTTCCCATTTACAATTGATTTGTGATTGAGGTCATTTGTCTCTCTGATGATTTACTGTGAAAAGTGAGATGTGACTGTGTTTGAAGTGTCGGTCATTACTGCCAACATAAATACACATTCTCTCGAAGATCTTCCTCAAATCCCAGTGAGAAACAATCTCTATACAGTGTTTTAAATCCTCAGTCTATATGTGTGAGATATATACATTCATGTGCACACAACATTCACATGCATAGAAAAAATACATATACAGAAAAACTGACACATAATGTGATCACTCACACACATGAGATGGGCTCTGAAACTCTCACACACTTGCAAAGTGGTGTCAGCTAGCGTAGTCTGCTTTGCTGCTGCTGGGGTGGGATTCCTACTGAGGCTGCTACTGAACTCAATCTGTCAGTCAGAGAAAGAGAGAGATGAAGACGAGTGGGGCGGTAACGAAAAATGGAGTATATATGTAAAGTGAAAGATCAAGAGCACACGTCAACACGTTCATCTGTGTGTTGACTTCAGAGGGGTGTATCTACAGACAGACACCAGAGTTAGACAGTGAGGGGAGCTGAATGTCATTCTTGCTAATATAAATCTCATGTTTCATACTGTATATACTTCTGTGGTCTGTGTCGGTTAGATTATATACATTATAGTGGATGATATGCATACTGTAGGTGCACTGCACCACGGTCTTTTAACAGGTTGACAGACTGCAGAGAAATGCTGGAAGAGATTTGGGTTATTGGCATTTTACCTAGCAATCTCATTTTAGCACATTTCTAATAGATTTCATTTGAGGGCTTTTTAGAATCGCTGTCTAGTTTTACCAGTGCTGTTATGAGAGCAACAAGGTGAAAAAGCAAGCCAGACTAACATTTACATGACAAAGGGATCTGCATGTGTTTATCACAAAGTGTTTTTTTTACGTGCACACACTCAAATGAAGGGATTTATGCTGTATATAACTTTTATCCTAAGAATTCTTATAGATGAGTTTTATATGAAAAACACTGTAGGTGGCCCAAATATTTTGTAGGTTTTTGCCTGAAACTACATCTGCAAAATATAGATGTTTTGCTTTTGCAGATTAGACATAGAATTTGTGTATTCGACAATCCCTTCTGCTGTCGGTGTCTCTCTTTGTCTGCTGCACTACTTCTCTGCAGGCATCCTTCCTCTTGCTCCATCTTACATTCTCATTTTCTCCGTTTCTTTTTTTGTTGATGTAAAGGGAAGGAAACACCTGATGTAACCCCACTAGCTGCTACCAAGAGATTTGATGATGCATCATTATATATACTGATCCATTAATGTTAATCCTTTTTGGAAATTATAACAATGAGATACAGTTAACAGTGGGCTCATAAACAGCAATAGTTTAAATAAAGTCCTGGCAGTGTGCAATGTCTAAAGGTGTCTGAACCTGCTTAAGCCTTAAGATTGTGTTGTGGTGTTTTTGATCCCAGTGTATTTTCTTGCAAGTCCAGTTATTTTTTATTTGTGAAACTGTAAACAGATATAGAATTTTTATTAGGCAAATCAGTACTTTTTTTTTTTTTTATTGGTCAAATATGGTGTATTAGTTCTAATTAGAGTGCTTCTTAACTTCAAAAAGTCTTTCTCTAAAAACAAATATTGAAAAATGGGAGGGTAATTTAATATTCAGGCTGATTAAATATTTAATGAAATCCAAACAGAAGATATAGTACACTATCTGTTTGGAACAGGGATCTTATCCTGAGCTTATCTTCATGGGGCCAATGCATGCATTAAAGGCAAAGTGCATGTGTGTTCTCAGCTTATGTTGTTACCAAACTTGTAATTAGAGGAATGCACTATTTTTGAAGGTGCCGCAGCAAGATTGTGAATGCAGCCAGGTGTAACTGATGCTTATGCTCCTCATGAATCATGGCTCCCGGTCTCTCGCAGTCATTTTATCTAATGAAGCAAGCATTAAACCGACAGTGATAATATGTGATAAGGCATTAAACTCTTTCCTAGTGAAGCCAGAGAACAACTTGCTAAATAAATAGATTACCTCCTCTGCATCATGCATAGAAGCTGTTTCTTAGTTTGTCATTATTCACCTCCTATAAACACTGCCAGCATGTTCCAAAGCATTGCAGTGTCTGAACAATATTTGCCACCCTGCCCATTATGGTTTTGACATTTATAAAGTTACTGTTCACTGATCACTTCAATGCTCGACAGATACATGTTGACAGGAAATTATTAAAACAAGACTGTCATGGTTTCGAGCAGGATTCAGACTTCAGCTTTATGCATCATAGCACCTTGAATCTTAAAAATTTATTTGGGCAGTTGATAATTTACCAGAGTGAGTCAAAAATTAACAATACACAAAAAAACATCTTGCTCTCTGTCTGAATTCATTTCGCTTTCAATTGAGCGAGTATTGCTGGAAAGGAATTTAAGGTTGTGAAGGTTTAACTATCAGAAGATGTCCTGCGCCCTGCCCTACATCACGACATTTGTTAATTTAACTATATCAGGTTTAGCTACAGTATGTCTGAGTGTGGACTGTTCATAGAGAAGTTAACGTTTAGGTTTAGTGTGCTCCATTCACAGTAGCACACTAAACCGAATCACTGATTTCAGTCCCTTTCACAGTAATATCAGCACCTTCCCAGTATAATCTAATCTAGTTCAATAGCGCTACAACAAACACACTTAAGGCTTTGTGGGGCTCACATATTCAGATTATGTTGAGAATGTTATGTAGAAACAATAATTTTAGCTCAACATTAGGTATTTTTACTCTGTAATGTTGTGCAGTGCACCCAAACCTCAGTGTCAGCTTCACAGAGAAAATTGTTCTGGTAGTGCTACTACAGTATATTTAATTCCACATTATTGTGGTGATAAATGTAAGTAATTACTCTGATAACATTCTGCTGTGTGACTGGCAAAAACGAGGAAAATGCTCAAAATATAAGAGCATAATGCACAAATCTGTGTATTTGCCAAAGGCTTTCTCTTTGTTCCCACATACTTTATACTATATTCATTACATCTATATGCATACTTTATTGTTGGGTGTAGTAAGGGGTGACGTCAGTCAATAACAATTAAGACATTTTTCCTTCCTTTGAAATATAGTATTATCTGCTTATCATTATACAGAGCAGAATTTCCAGAAGCTAAAACATGACACCTTAGCTTGGGAGGAGATACCACACTTGCTTTGTATCATGCTCTAGTCCCAGACCAACCATTGGTTTGTGTGTTTAAAAAGAAACGGGCAAAAAGCCAAACAGACTTGGTAAAATGCTGCAGGAACATTTTGGCTTGACAGAAACACAACTAAACTGATTTTTTCAAAATAACCTTGTAGATCTACATTGTGGCACAGACATTTGTTGTTTGGCAACATTCAGAACACAAACACGTTAATATGCATTACGGTATCTAAAATGTAGTTATTTTTCAGGAAAAGTAAGTTAACATATTGTTCACAGTGAGAAGTCGTGAGCTTGTGCATAGGATCTGCTCTGGTAAATTACAAAATACCATGGATGGTCTGAAAAGGAAGGCAGTGCCAGTACCAGTTGTGTTAATCCTCTATTAATACTGCTGCGTGCTGATTGGTGACACACCTCCTACTGTACTTCTCTTCCAGCTCTGGTACACTGAGACTTAATGGTGAGTCACCAAATTACCACATGAACACTGGCTCAAAACATAATGAGCCTGAGAGGAATAGATTTAGCATGATGGCTCAGAAAAGATTTTCTCTGTTTCACAGTCCGCTAATAGTTCTGCATTTGTCAGGAGACAAAAAACAAAAATCCCTACAATTTAATTGCTGCGGCAACTTAATAATTTTCTGTTCTTTCAATTCAGCCAGATGTTGTAGCAACAGTTATCTTATGTTATACACTGTAAATTCCGAAGAGGGAGCACAACCACCAAAGTTTTATTTTGACAATAGAAATATGGCATTTTCACACTGCTTTGAGGCTACCTGTCTTTGTCAGAGCTGATAGCTGAAGTGTCAGGCTGAGAGCTACATGTTATCGCCGCCTCTCCCAATTCTACATCTATCATTCCCTTAACAGATTACAGTGTATAAACTCACATATGCACAGCCACACAGGGCTTCATCTTCCCTCCTCCACAACTAATACTAGTGCCACTGGGATCTGCTGATAAAATCCAAATTGTGTGTGTGTGAGTGAGAGTTTGTGTACAGTTTTTGTGTCTTTTGTGGGGGTGAAGCAGTGTGTGGGAAACCATTCCAAACAGTGGTTTTGTGAGGGAACATATTAGATAAGGGCCCTTGGGTCTAGTCTGGTGTTGCTGAAGACAAACTCTACAGCCTCGTATTATTGCTGTAGGAATACTGCCTTGTTTAACATGAAACAACCACCTGTTTATACAGCACACACACGCACACAAATGATTTCATACACTGATGCACTCAGAAAAATTGTGAACACATGAATGCACTGTAGCCAATCACATTGCTCCACACACACACACAGACACACACTTCATGAACAGCAATAGAAGGGTATGTCTGGGAGCTCCTGTGTTTTAAATGAAATCACATGAAGAAGAGAAGGGGGTTCTGAGAGATGCTCAGTGTAAAGATATGCAAGCAGTGAACTCAGATGGGAGGGAAAATTAAACAGGCAGGCATGACTCTGCTGAATACTGCATGAAGTATTCACACAGAAGGTCTTGTCATCTGCTGTATGTTCATAATGTTTAGGTCGGAAATTAGTCTTGAATTTGTTGAGTCTGTAAGATGTCAGAAAATACCCTTTACAAAACCCAAGGTGATGTCTTGAGATTTCTTATTTTGTCTCATCAACAAACACCCCCCAGATTACAGCAGGTGATTTAGTAATTTAAGTGCTAATTGTTTCAGTGTAATTAAGATGTTTTGGTGCAAGGTTAAGTAACATGGTCACTCCCTAGCTACTCTTATGTCATTCATACAGATCAGCAAAGTGTCATTTTATTTTTCTGCTGTAAAAACATCCAGCTCAGTAGGTGGCTTTTTGGTTGTAGTTCCTCTCTAGGCAAACCAGAGGGCAGTGCAGAGAGTGTCAAAACTCCACATGCAACTTTTTTCTCTGGAGGTTATTCGATCAGAATAATGCACTTTTCAAATGCAAATAAATATGTGTGTGTGTCTCCAAGGTCCGAGGAGGACTCAGAGGGCAACAGGGACATCTGCAGTGAGATTCTACAGATGAAGGCTCTTGAGAGGCTCACCTCTACGGTCAGTGTGTGCATGTGATCTGAGAAACAGTAAATACAGTATCTCCACATTGTTGTGACATATTCCACTTTTTCTCCAACAGGTACAAAGTGAGTTGGCGGCCGCTCTTGCCCGAAAGACTCGCAAAGCTTGTAAGTACACATTTAGCCTGTGTGTGTTGTTCCTGAGACATTTCCCTGGTGTGTGTGTGTTTTTTTTTTTAACTACAAGAAGATGGAGCAACAAAGAATGTGCTATATAATAACAGTACAGAACTGCCAGTCGAACTTGATTCTGTTTGTGATTGGTTGCAGTATCAGAGCAGGACTCTGAGACGACGGAGACAAGCCAACAGGAGCCTCACACACCCAGCGAGCAAAGCAGCCCAGTAATACACACACACACACACACACACACACACACACACACGGAAGCATGCTGTACATACATTCCTACAGTCACACTAATAAAGCTTTTAATTTTGGTATAATACTATGGAGAGAGTAACATAGTCAAGTCTGCAGCAGTTATGGCAGGAAACATCTCTTGACACCAAGCATAATCAAAAGACTAAAATGCAGTTTTTAGTGCTGCTGAAATACACTGAATCATTGTTAATTTAACCTTAGCTGGCAAACTGCCGCTGTCATTGTCTGTATCACTAAATGAGTAAGGGGGATGTTATTTATTTGTTACTGCTGCTCCACAGTTTGCCTGCTTATTACGATGCTGTGTATTGGTGAGGGTTCACAGTTTTCATTTCGCACTGTAAAGCTTTTGAAAGCTGTACTAACAATGTTAAAAACAAAGGGCTGGAAATGGACCAGGTTATTTGCTTTCTGATTCCATCTCTGTACAGTGGAAATCTCTCTGTTTCCATTAATTATTCATTCCCAGATTACACCAGAGAGATGAGGAAGAGACAACAAAATAAATGCTTTTCTAAACACAATTACACATACAGTACTGTAGATAAGTGGTTGATGTGTTTTTGGCTTATGACCTTCTCATACAACAAGATGGCTCCTTCCAACTGCTGGTCAGTGTTTGCATTTGTCTGTCACAACTGAAGAGCGCTTTTCCTCAGCTGTATTCTAGCGGTTTTTTTTTTTTTCTTACAAAAAAGTGAAACATTTGAGAAAAATCTAAATAATAAGCTTAAAGGTTTTATGTTGTTTCTGACCCCTTACGTCTTACTGCATGTCCACATGTCCATTCAGGGCTTCACTCTAGCTGAGTCATGTGTCCGCTGTGATGTCAGTGTCAACCTCAAATGTTTCCGAACTGGAGTGTCTGTCCTTCAACCAGATTTATAATTTGGTGTGGAATTATTTTGCTGACCTGTGTTTTGCGTTTTGTGTGTACATTGAAAAGACATTCACAGCTCGTTTACTGTAGATGCTAACAGATGCTTTGTGGCTGTACTTTAATATGACGACCTTTCGTCACCTCAGACTTTTGTTATAAATATCAGTGCAGTTGACTTCACAGCACAGCTGCTGCCATTATCATGTATTTTTGTTTATTATAACAGTCTTATGATCATAAAATAATGATTAGCAATCTGCAGCTGGGCAGCTCAGTAATGGCTGCTGGTTAATACAGTAGGCCATTTCTGAACCAAAATCAAAATTTTATACTCATTCTGTTCATCTGGCAACATAAAACGTATTGTAAATGAGAAGAGCTATAACAGCTTGTGAATTCAGCCACATTAAACACTATGATCAGTGATCACAGATATCAGAAGGGGACAGGATCTCAAATAGCTACAAACAGGCTACATATAACACATTTTTCTGTGAATGTGTTAAGACAAGGTAAGATGGCATTTAAAGACATTATATAAGTTCTACAGTTACCGCCATTATAGCTCTCTTCAGAGACAAGCTGCTGTGGCTAATATAGAACTGGCCTGTAAAGGTAAAGGATCTGAGCAAGGAGCCATTCATGTCCCCCAAGTGAGATGCTCTGGTCACAGGGGACACGGACATTGTGCAACAACACCAGAGTTGGTGGACATTGGCCATTAGAATGATAAAAAATAAAAATATACAAAATAAAGTAATTTAAAAAAGCACAACTGCAAACTATTAAGGATCACACAGTGGTCCCTGATGTACAGAACAGACCATTGCTTTCTACACAGATATTTAGATTTTTCAACTCCAACTCAACTTAAAGCTACAGTATGCACCTTTTTCAAATATTTTAGTTGTAGAAATCTGCTCCAAAGCTTGTCTTAATGTGGAGAGGTGCTGTCGAAGCCTCCTGTGACCCAGACTCATTGAACAGCACTGGCAACAGTGCAGAGATTATAGCTTCTAAAAGGTTTTGAGTGGGAGAGATTTTCAATTATTTCTGCTTCAGTAAGTTTTGTTGAATTCTCACCTATTGTAACTTCATAATGACAGATATATGAAGAGCTGGGCAGAGTGTGGTGGAGTGTAGTAGAGCAGGGAGAGGGAGTGCAGAGTGGATTGATTTGGAGTTTCACGCTAAGTTACATACTGTAGCTTTAACTAGACTGGAGATTATTTTAGTTTCAGGTTATTCATCAGCCTACTGAAAGTCTCATACAGATCTCAGACACAGGAGATCAAAGAGAAATTAAGGGCCCAGTGGAAGAGAGAAGGAGACAGATGGAGACAGCTGCTCAGTACAAACACCTTTATCTTCTGTGTGTTCTGTGTCGAGGACAGGAAACAGGTTAAAAGGAAGTAACTAGGGCCATGGGACTGTGGCTCTGATCTGTGTGTGTACGTGGCTATTCTGCTAGATAGGAGTTGTCAATGGGGGGAGTTTTCTTAGTAAACAAAATAAAACGTGGGAGTATGTGTGTGTTACCCTCTGCTAGAGCTTGGCACCGTGGGATAGTTGAGCTCACAGGAAGGGTTACCCAATTCTGAGCCAAATCAAATACCCCTCCCCCCCCACCCCCAAAAAATAAACAGACAAGAGTGCCCACAACTGGTGACAACCATCATACCAGCAGCTCCCAAAGGAGCACACACAGCCATGTTTTTGTCATCAAATCTGTGTAAGGACAAAGCCATTAGTTTCTACAGAATCCTGCAGATCCTGTCCTGCCTTTCTTTTCTCTTTCACACATCATGTCTCTATGTCTTAGCATCTCTTGCTTTGTGTTAAATGTTTATATTCAAACACTTTATATCTACTTTAATTGACCTACTGAGATGGTTGGCACATTTCTAAGTCTCAACTATAGAGGGGTGGAGAGAGACAGACAGCATGCATGCATACACACACACCCCACCACACTCCACCACACTCCCGCCCACTTGTACTCTACTACAGATCACACGCACTCATGCTTTCTCTGCCAGATCCTCTGACACAGAGCAGTCAGACTGAGACAAAGAGAGAAGTGCAACAGATAAGGGGAATCACAGGCTGTAACAGATAGAAAGAAAAGAGACAAGAAGGAATCAGAGAAAGGAGGCGATAGAGAAACTCAGGATTGCTTTTCCTCATTCTCATCATATGAACACTAAGGGGCAACAGAAAGTTTGCCATTGCATGTTTCTTTGAATGTTTCCACCATGTCTTGGGACTGCGGGCTGAGATATGTCTTCATGCCTCCTGTGTTGCAGCTGGGCGGGGTGTGTCGGAACCAGGCGGTGAGTGGAGAGTCTGATAACAGCACTGAGATTTTAAAATATCATTAATCTCACACACTGCAAGTTTGTTGGTCTCTCACCTTGTAATCTGTCAAGCAAGCTGTGGCTTTACGGTTGGTATGATTAGAGAGTAAAGTACGTCACACGTGGGAAATGTGGTCGTTGTTGTCACTTTTAAGTGCAGGTCTGAGTTACTCATGGATTGGAGTGAGGGATCCTCATCAGGGCCATTAGAACTTGTGTTGCTGTCATTCCAAATGACAAACATACATGTACACGTGCTTACAGCTTGCCCTTTTGTTTTGTACATCATCTGATGTTCATAAGGACACATCAGCGCACACACACACAAATTTAAGTTATAATTGCAGATGCACTGATCTTTGCTTTGTTCAGACCACTTTGGATTAAACAACCACCAGTTCGCTTGCTCGTCTGATGTGGGTGTTAATAATAGCTTTGTCAAGTACTGTGTGTTTCTGTGTTCACTTTGTGTGTGTGTGAATTTGCTTGGTGGAGCATATAATCATGTGTGGGTCAGTGCGTGTGTGTATGTTCATGCACCGCTGGTACTGTGGCAGGCTGAGTCAGAGTGTACGTATACAGTAATGAGTGAGTTGTTGGTGAAGCGTTGTGCTGTATAATCCCACTCTGCAGTACACCTGAGAGCATGAAATGAAGTGAACTCAGTGGGAATTCATTTTACATCACAATGAGTTTGTGAAATATTATACATATCTCTTCAGCTTGGTGAGTTTGATTGAAGCCCGGCCTTGGTGGTTTTGGCAAAGTGCATGTGATTTCACTTTCATTCCTTACATGCAAAAGAAAAAACATGCTGTATTTTGGAACAGCATTACTATTATATGAAACTATTTTGATTTAAACAGTGCTGTTAAAGCTGTGATATAGTAGAGAGAGTTAGGTTGACTTAAAAGTAGCAGTAAAAAGTATTATGAAGATGAGTACGAATATTACATTTTCCTTTAAATTAGTTTCCAAGCCTTACAGTACAATAATCAGTGAATCTACAGTACATTTTATTTACTGCAGTAAATAAAAAATTTACTGCTAGATCACCGTGGTTGATGAGCAAATGTCTGAATTTTTGCATGTTGTATGTTTTCTCAGATTATTCTTTTAATACTTTAAGTACAGCAGATCATGAAATTTCCAAACATGCATATTTTGGGCAGGACTGCAGGGAAACATGTTTGAAATTATATGTAAGAAATTGTGTTGTCTTCGGTTTAAATATAGCTTCAAAGAATCCTGGACATAGTCACAGAGTGAGGAAAATGTTTTCTAGAGCCCCTTTCAGACAGGCACTTGTTTCCATTAACCTCATAGCATCTGTACGTGTCAGCTTCTTATCTGAATGGGCACCCTGGTCACTTTTCCGTAAAAGTCACAATGGCAGTCTCACTAGATCAGACCTAGTAACATTTGCATATCACTTTCAACATGGCACAAGTCTGAACTGCATGAACAAATAGGCACACACAAGATTACAACATACTGATGTAGGATGTTACATATAGTGAGCCTGCCAGTCAAGACAGTCTGTGTGTCTGCACATATCTCTTGTGAGTTGCTTAGTTCATTAAAAACAGAATTGTTTGGGGAAAACAGCAATAACTTGAGAAAAACAATTCTCTGCCTCACATCACTTCCTGAACCGTCCAATCTCGCACATATGAAAAATGATGTGCACGTACAGTGGCTGTCTCCATCACAGTTGTCTGAATGAAGCTGTAAGGAACATTAATGTGAAAGTAACCTGTGTCTGAATGGTAGAAAGCCAGCACTTTTACAGACTAATGAAGCAGCAATGTCACACACTGTATCTCATGTCTGAAAAGGTCTTATAGCTAATTTACTTAAAGAAGGAATCTACACTGGGGACAGTTTAGATGGATTCATGTGAAAAATTAAATGATGAAATGCCCATGTAGTTCAGACATCCTTCAGATGGTACACACAAACCCATTCTGTGTTTCAGTTAAAGTAAGCATCAGAAAATTTACTGTTTCTCATCTGAGAAAAAAAAGGGACCAACATCAAATCCAGCTTCTTATATGTAAATGTATGTTCCAGCTGTTCCATTGTCCTGATGTTATAGATTTAGCTTATATGGATACAATGTTAGATTGTCATAATTTAAAAAAATCATCTGGATGTTGTATCAAGCACCACTATGAGGCTATGATACAAGTGTGAACAGAAAAGAACTGATTCTTGCAGGTGGGCTTGAGAAGATGCTCTTACTCACATAACACGCAGACAGCAGTACTGCAGAATGTAGCAGCTCAGTTCACTACAAAGAAAATGCTCCTTTTACTGGGTTGTCATGGTGATGGTATATATTTTTGTGCTCGTTTTTTTTCCATGTCAGACAAACTCTGACAAACTGGTGTGGGTGGTTTCCATAGCGATATAACTCCTGTGTCAGCACAGTGCACTGGGTACATCTCTGCTATCTAGTCTCTTCAGACTTACAGTTGTACTTCTCCATATTTGACTCAGCCATCATAGTTTACTAGAGGTCAGCCTGCACAATGGATTATACAAGGTCACAGCATGCATGATGACACCCATAGATAGGCCTTGGGGCAGCTGTGCTACTTTCTAATAGTGTGGAAATTACACTATATGAGTGTGTGTGTCTCTGTGTGTGTTTGCATGCATGTACATACAGTACTTGTGCTTGTGTGTCTCTGACCTAAAAGCTTTGTGTTTTCATATTCTTATCCATTATTTCCAGGAATCAGGCCCAAAGCTATCACAACACAGATATGGCTTGGTCACTATCAGGGCAGACACCAACACATACACTACATTCATAGGAACAGGAAGGGAACAGAGAGTGCTTCCTTTAGGCTTTTCACTGAGGTCCACCTTTCCTCTGGGCAATACTTCACGTGTTATATGTGGGAAAGAATAAGAGAACAGAGGGACTGAGTGAGTGACATACTGTATATACACATGTCCTGAGGCTGAATAAATGTTGCACCCTTTCTCGTTTCTTGTACACAATTTGGACTTTCAGTTTGTGTATATGTGTTACAGGGGCACAACAAATACATTCCCTCTAGTCTCCGTTCCCTGTTACCAAGTCTCAAACACCTGAAGCAGTCTGCCAGTCAGACCGTTCAAAGATGGATAGAGAGAGACTTGGCTAGAGAGGAAAAGAAAGTGTTTTTATAAGCGTAGTGGAGAGACAGTGGGGAGGGAAAGGTGTAGGAGAGCCAGTGGTACAGATGATTCAGTTGCAGGAAGCAATGGGGAGGAAGGGAAGGAAAGAGACCGACACACCTTTTACTGTCAGACAAGTGATTGTCCTGAGTAATGACGGCACAGAAGCACCTGTAGAGGTTTGCTTGTATCATTTTCATTTTTGCTGCTTGTCAGCTTGTCATAGCTGGGCTACCATTACAGGATGTATTACATAACCGCCAATTTGTTTTTGTCTTTTTATGAAAGCCAACCATATTGGCATTGTTAGAGGAGACTAAAACAACTACATACTAAAACTGATCAGTTACTTCTTGCACAATTCATTTTTTTCTCACAAATATGCTCAAAGGATAGAGTTGTTGATGTTCCACATATCCCATACAGAGACTAAAAGATTCTCAAATAACAATGTGAGAGGTTATCAGAGTGGTGTAAACAGAGCTGAGATCACACACACATGCCTTGACTCTTCTTCACTTCAGAGACTGTAGAGTGATGGCTCTTCTTAGCCTTTGGAGCTATTTTTTGAAAAAATCCGGTACAATGAGGTGGCTCAGCTGTGTTTTTTAATAGTTTTCAGTTCTGCAGCACTGACAAATAAGCTAAACCAGGGTTTGGATTCATGGATATTACAGCAAATATGTGAATTTCAGTGTTGGCTTGAGTTTCTTGTATGGGATTACTGGAAAATAACAATAGCATTTAAATTTCTGGGGCATTTAAAAGCTTGGATAAAACCCATATAAGAGTTGGATTCACACATCTCCCTCATTTTTCTCAGTCGCTGCTATTTGTATTTCTTTTTTTTCCACACACTCCTCCGTGTCTCTCGCTTTCCATCCCAGTGTGTGGTCTTTCATCTTGCTTTCTTTGCTTGTCTCCTTTTCTTTGTTACATAACTTTGTAACCCCTCCTCTCTACAGCAGTCAAGTGCCTACTTTGTGTATTTTTTTCTTTCCGTGGTTTGCATTCTTTCTCAGGCCAAATTAATGTCGTTCCTGGGAACTACTGTTTGCACTTATGTTGAGTGATTATTTGTGTTATCGAATGGAATATATGCACATATAGTGTAATGCCACGTTTAACTTTTGGTTTGATTCTTTTTGTGGAAGCTTTTGATCTTGTGTGTGTGTCTGTGTGTGCTGTAACACCGTCTTCTTGACTCAGAGTTGTTTTTCTTGGCAACTGTTTGAAAGTCTGAGTGTGTTGTTGGAAAGCTCAACTGTTTGCTACTGTATCAGGAGCAAACCTTTTTCTCCTTTGTTTTGTTTTTAATTACAATTATTACATCATCTCGTTTTCTTTTTTTAATGTACTTGTGGGGTAATTTTCCTTTAATATGCAGTTGCTGGTGTAGAAAGGAGGGAAGGGACAGCAGAGATAAAGAGAGGGGATGTGATAAAACATTATGGTTTGTATTTGAACCCTAGTTGATGTGGTTTGGTGACAGGGCCTATTATAGACCAGTTCTCAGTGTCTGGGTAGTGCGACGTGAAAACTCATGCAGGAGTACAGAGCTGGACTTTTTGCTGCTTTACAGTCTAATCATATTGAAGCGATGTGTTGCTGTTAAATTTGTGGTTGTTAAGTTAATAATAGCTAAACAGTAGAATTGAACAGTTAATTAAATAAAATCTAAAATGGCAGAATGATACACTGGAATATCAAAAATATAAGAAGCTCATGTTATGTCATCAAAGTCAAAGATGCTCTTAAACAGTCATAAGCGCGGCAATGTGCTGCTGTGAAGTGTGAACACCTCCAGTTATCCGAGTGCTCATCCAGGGTGAAGCCAGGAGGAATCAAACCAGAGTCTCAGCTGTAGTAGGCGAAAGCTTTTTTTTAACCTACAGTTTAAACTACTCAAACACCCCTACAATGTATTCAGTGTCACAATAAATACAAATATTGTATAATACAGTTGTGAGTGTTATATCATCATTATCAAAGCTCTAAAGTAGACATGGACAGTTAACATCAAACTGAAGCTTGACTTGACAAGAGAGGTATGTTTTCTTTTTGGATCAGCTTACAGCTTGTACAGGATATGACACCTTCTATCCGTAGACAGTGAGTTCCTAGAAGCAAAATACACCCACTTTAAAAACTTTTTAAATGAAACTTAAACTTGAATTGCACTATACCGCACTTTTAAAAGCAAAAGTTAAAGTACTTGAACTTTATCTTTAATGTTGTAGATGTGGAGTGTGTTCATTTGAACTGAATTAGCCCAGTGTTTTGTCAGAATTGTAAATAAAAACATATAAAAAAATTAATTTATAGTATTTAATCAAATGAAGAAAGAAAATGTGAGACACGCACCATTATACCTGAGGGAAAGATCTGGTGCCTGCTCAACATCTGTATCAGTATTAGTCATCAGGACATGTCCACACACCTCTCTCTCTCTCTCTCTCTCTCTCTCTCTCTCTCTCTCTCACTCTCACACACACACACACACACACACACACACACACACAAACATACACAGACAGCACAGACATAGTGTTTTGTCTTATCCAAGTCAGGTCCCACCTGTTGTCTCTCAGGATCAGGACATTTCTTTCATCAGTTGATCACAAAGATAGCACGTGTGTGCCTGTGTGTGTCTGTGTGTGTATGTTTGACTTGTTCATGTCTGTGTCACAGAGGTATCTATGACTGCATTAACAGTGTGCTGTGTTGGGGCTTTATTATGTCTAAAGTAAAAAGTCTATTGTGATTGTGATCACAGTTATTGATTAGTGCACTGGTGATGCTTTGTGTGAACCTTAGCTCCTTTTTTCAGCTTCTGGACTTTTTAAAAAAGCCTCAGCTGATTCTTTTGGATCAAAAGTTATCACCCTTGTGATGTAATGTAATTGTGGCGTCTAAATCTTGATATATGACTTACACTAACTGTGCACAGTCCTACATAATATACCTGCATATATTCAAGTACGGAAAGCTCTCAGCTGTGATTGCTGCTCGATCCCTCTGGCTGTGACGGAGACTGCAGCGAGCAGCTGGAGGAGAGATGTTTCTTAAGCTCTCCTGCTTCTGTTGTCTGCCTTTGATCTCCTTCTCTCCTTTCATTTCACTGTCATCTCCTCAGGCTGGTTCTTATGGTGCTTCTTTGTCCATCTAGTGCTGTTTTCCCTGTGCATTGCACTGACACTGCAGGCATGTGTGTGTGTGTGTGTGTGTGTGTGTGTATGTGTGTCCAAGTCACAGATTAAGTTGCTGTTCATTTTTGGAGCAGGAGATCATTACAAGTGTCAGGCCACATTCCTAGCCATCTCATTGTTATTTATTACACAGTGTCATTTCTTTTAAAGACAAGGAATGCAGTACCTCTCAGTATATGTGCCTGAATGTGTGAATCGGTGTGAGAGATGGTGCATGTGCTGCATTAGCCTACAATGTGTATTAAAAATGTTTTAATATTAAATGAAGGGGTCTGGACACTAGAGACAGACTGATGCTGGATTTGTTTTTTGTTATCAGTATGTAAAATTTTAACAAAATCTGATAATATATCAACAGATACTTGTTTTTGAACAAACACGTTACATAAAAACATATTTTACTGTGATTTAAACCTGGTCAAAAACAGTGTAGTATGATCGTATGTAAAGATGGTATGTAAAATAAACTGGTGGAAAAGGAAATGTAATGGCAACACAATTAAATTACCTCAAACATATCTTTGGTTTTTCTTTTGGACATGGTGATTATACGCATACTGTAGACAGATGCATCACAGTAATTAAATTTCCCATTGAGGCTGAAATTGTCTGATAAACATCCAGTGTCCTCACTCCTCTAAATCACATTTGTCCTTGCTTCACTTTGTGACTTGTCCCTGTGTTTTTCCCCTTTCTTGTTCTCTGTAAGGAGGTGGTGGGGAGAGTGTGTCTGAAGGAGAGAGGACGGGATGTGTTGGTGTTGCAAAGAGTGACATCATCAGTGACATCACCAACAGACCGGCCCTCGCCCACGTCGTCAGGGGGCGGATCCAGAGAGGAGGACTGCGACAAGAGGTCAATCCCTCCTCACACATAATAAGAACCCTCTGAACCAACAGTAGCAACAAACATGTAATCATAGTACTCCACCCCTGTTCTCTGTTTTTTACTTTGGGATCTTAAGTTGCAACCATGCACTGCACGTACATGCAAAATATCAGTGGTCCTGTCAACACTGTGTGTGTGTGTGTGTGTGTGTGTGTGTGTAACATAATGTATGCTTTAGCTTCTGGCACAGAGCAGGAGGAGAATAATGGCTTTTTTGTTTTCAGTTGAAAGGGAAAAGATGACACCAGGTTTACTTCCTTTTCCTCAAAGTTGATTTCTTTGTGAAGTGTCAGATTTTTTTGTGCATTTAGGTCAGTATGTGCCAAGACCTAAGGCGCAATACAGGGAGTGTCAGTGACAGGCAGGTTAAGTGGGTGCATGTGTGTGTGTGTGTGTGTGTGTTTGTGTGTATATAGTGCTCAACATTGTCAGTAGCAATCAGTTCTCTCTGAGATCTACTATACGAGCTGTCAGACAGAGGATTTAATCTCTTGATCTCTTAGCTGATAGGAGCAGTTGGCAAGACAGTTAACACCACAGGAGAGCAGCTTTCCTGGATAGGCAAAGCTTAGATGAGGGCTGATCCTCTGGAAGTGTTCAGATATGAAGATGACCACCGAGCAAGCTACGCTTGCAGAGGCAGAGGAGGACATAGATAATGAAGATGATGAGGACAGTGATGATGAGGATAATAATCATGATGAAAATGCTAGCAGTTCAGAAGTCTGTACATTTGATGTTCCCCATTTTCGCTATATTGATGATGACGATGTGGAGGAGAATAAGGAATGTGAGACGGAGGAGCAGTGGAGGAATAGAAGTGGTCGTACTTGGTACTCATACTTTACTGAGGAAGGTTGTTGCAACTCTTCATCTTACAGGTATGTGGTGGTGTCAGGAACACCACTCAAGATCTTGGAGCACCTTCTAAGTGACCTGCGGTTGGATGACCAAAGAGGGGCACCAGAGAGCAGAGAGAGCGGTAAGTTTGGAGACATATGATCAGACGTTTTGTTTGCAGTGGGTGCAATCTAAAACTAGACTGGCTTGATGTTGGTTTGTACCGGATGGGTGTGGTCTCCCTTCCATTTAAATGTGGTACATGAAATCTCACATGGCCTATATAAAATGACATTTGATATTAAGATGGTGTGTTGGTATCTGGGCTCTTTGGGGCAATGTTCAGTATGATGTGTAATGTACTCCCTTTGAGTAACTCAGAAGCAGACATATAGTGTTTCATAATATGAAAAGATAGCCTATTTTCTCTAATTGCCATACATTGTTTATCAGCTGAAGAAGATCAGCGTCATATTGCTGCTTCATGTGCACTCTTCCCCACCCTTGTCTCTTCATAACAAGTGGCATGCCGGTACAACCAAGCAGAATGCAGTAACTGTGCACTAACACATCTGTCACAGGGCAGCGACAAACACACTATCTGGCTGCATGTCCATAAAAACGTAAATCAAAGCTAGAAAGAAGTAGAATTTGAATGCAACAGTTTTCCTTATAAATAAAGCAGCTGATACATTTATGGCCAAAGGTATATTAAAAGTACTGCACCTCCCTCTTGTTCCAAGGAATTTCATTTTAAGTGCTGAACAACATGTTTCAGCACAGCCCCACCTGGACCTTTCTCTGCCTCTTTCATTTGCTTCCAAAGTGAATTCAAACCCAGGAGGTATGTGCTTAACCTCCATTACACTGTATGTTTGTTGCTACATGAGTCAGGCAGCCCTCAAACCATGTCCAGGTGCATGTGTGCGTTGATTCAGCCATGTCATTGCCTGCAAATATGAGGAATGTTCAAGAGGTTAAATGCTCTAATGAGTTTGTCAAATAATTCCTCAGGGTGTTGCAGGCACTTCTGCTGCAGACAATTTCAGTGGCCTTTTAACTCTAACATTTCATTTTCACATTCCTCTAGTCTGCTTTATAGCTGCTGGGTTTTTAACTGTGCAGCCATTATTGTACTACTGTACTGATTTACCTTGGGAAACAGTTTGCTATTTGTCTAATAGCAGGGTGCAACTAATAATCGTTTTCTTTTTTTTAAATTCATTTCTACATCTGGGTCTCAACCTGTATTTTATATAGCCCTGCCCATGCCTGTTTGCACAGTTTTAGTACAAGGCGTCTTTATGTGTCTGCTCCTCAGCACCACCAGTTCCCAGGGAGCCATCTCACTGAATTGCAGGAAGCAAATGAAGAAAGAGGGAGAGATGAATGCAGGAGAGAGAGGGAGAGAACTGAGACAGGCTTTGTGGAGCAAGACTGCCTGATATAAAGACACTTTTTTAGGGCTCAAGTTGTTGTTTTTATAGAGGTAGTGGAGGGAGAGGCACAAGCATATATGCACATCAACAGTGTATGTGCATGTTTGGCTGTCTTTGTGTCTGTTTTCTTTTTCATGTGTCTATCTTTTGGTTTGTGTGCACTGAATAAGCATGAGGGGGTTGCATGTGTGTAGTCCCTCTGGGATGGCGCTGAGCATCAGTGAGATGTTTTAGCAGGCTTAACAATGCAGCATGTAGAATGGGCTCGAACACGCTTCCACAGAGAGGGCGATTACCCTAACCACAACAAAAAAAAACACTGCAGCAGATTGCTGTGATTAGTTCAACATGCACACACATTTTCTTTCTCTCTCACATGAGATAAACTCCCCAAGGTCAGGACTGAATGAGTTATTTATCGGGGTGCTATGTGCCTTTGGGTGTGAGTGTGTATTGCTGTGTCTATGAATGTATGTGTTTGACTTTTCTGTGTGCCACTGGGCAAATGCAGAGGGCATATGTTGAAGATGAAAATGGATATTTATCATCGCAGTGAGTTGAGAGAGTGCAGGCGTAGGAGGAGAGTCATAGCAGGGGGAAATGTAACCAGCAAGAAGGAGAAAATGAAAGACGGGGGTGTGGGGGGAAAGATGAGGACAGTCTGGTATGGTTAGAAGGAAATGGAAAGCGAGGAAAAGACTCATACTACAGCTGGTCAAGAAGGAGCTCTGTGACTGAAGAGAAAAGGGCTCAGAATAGAGAAAATAACAAGAAAATTTTAAAAACTAATGTGCTCAGTCCCACCTGCCTAAAAGTATTTCTTGACCATAGTTATGTTTTTGTTTCTAAAGAGAAGACACTTGTTCAAATATTAATGCCATGGCCTCTGTTCAGTCTTCTATAATTGATTTCTGTGCTCTCTCTCTCACACAG